GCCCTGCAGTGGTGATAGACTGTGTGTCACTGCGCCTGTTTTGGACTGTGTGCCCCACTTCTATGTGTGTGTGTGTTTGTGACTCCTCTGTTTTTTTTGTGTTTTTTTTTTTTTGAGTGTGCGTGTGTGTTTGTACCTGTTTGTGAATGTCAGGATCATTACCTGTGTGTGTGTGTGTGTGTGTGTTTGTGGGTCAGGTCAAGCTATTATTATGGCAGCAGCTGTAGTGGTATTGCAGGGGATTGTGGGAGGTGTGCAGACAGGCTGGGGCTCTGAAGGGCTTTATGTTTGAGTGACAAGCCTGAAATAAATAAGCTGCACCCTGTGCAAACTACATAACTCACAGTCCTCCAGCTATTAAATATAATAAAACATACGGACATGCTTTTTCCTTCAGTAACACTGTTAAACTATATCTTTAAGGAAAACTCACTCTGATTTATAAACATTTAGATTATACTACTTACAAAATAATGATTCAAGGTCTCAAAAGAACAAACAAAAAAAGAAAATACAAACATAAATAAAGAGGACCAACAATGGAAACTGTGACAGCAAAATGTACCTTAAAGTACCAAAGGTTTGCCATTCAAGAGTGAAAGAGCTTTTAGGCCTAGATGAACCGATTCAGTGGTCAGTTGAAAGATACTATTTCTCCACAGTTTAATCACAAAATGATAGAAGCTTCCCTATGCTCAGTACAATGTCCCACAAGTTTCACTAACTGCAGTGGGAAATTCAGCACCACGGACAGCGACCCCCCACAAGCAGCAATTGGCAAGCTGTCCATGAACACCACCTCCATCTGCATCAAACATCAAGAAAAAGATAGTTTATCAACACCACCTTACAATGTGACATATTTCAAAACGGTTTGCAGTGGGCAGTGCACCCAACAATCAGATAGGACAGGACTTTGACAGGTGTAACTATTCACTGCACAGAATTTGTCTTTAGATTCGGTCACCGTCGCTTGGTAACGTTTTCAAGTAAAATCAAGAGACACAGGTACCTGGAAGCTTAAGACTGTGAGTCACTCTTTGTCGCCATCTGACAGTCTCCTCTACCGTCCTGTTAAAGATCCTTTGCTAATAAACATAAAGGTTTGAGGTATGATACTCAAATAATTCAACAGTAATCTTTCCTGCCACCACAAAAAGAAGCTCAACTTTCAAGTGATTGACTTGTTTGTTCTCAAACACCTTGAATTAAACTTTCTACCAGTGGATCGACATAATTCCAGTTGTATCCAGTGTAGGGTCAACAGGCTAAAACAAGGCAGAATAAGTTCTCTGCAAGTCATTTTAGTTTTTTGAAGCAATTTTGTTTGCTTTAGAACCAATACAGAAACAACTAACTAACACTAACTAACATATTACATTTGTTGTTGGCATATGAATGAAGATCAAAATTACAGGGAAGGTGGAGAACAATTTTATTTTTAGTGTTTTTGTTACTACATTTTTTACTTTTTACTTAATGACAACATTGTACTGGCCAAAAGAAAAAGATTAATACTATAACCCAGTATTTAGGTTTGTCACACTTGTGTGTGCGTGTCCGAATGTGCATGTGTTTTGCCCCAAAACTCTCTGCACTTTTTCAAACTCTGAAACTCTGCCATTTATCCAGGGTTATTTTCATTCTGCCGTTTGGGAGCATCCATATGCAGATGGAGCTGAGGGGGAATAATATATCTGCCCATGCTCACACCTCGCCCACACATTTAATATGTGTACAGACACTTGCAGCTGCACTGCACCGTACACACACACATACTGCAGGCTTAGATACACGCCCACTCATGCACATACACTCACCTACACAGATTAACACACACGGACAAGTGTAGAAGCAGTGATGAATGAATTATTGGGAGTTTGCTTTCTTTATGACCTGCAGCTACATACGGTCCTGTTGTTCTAATGCGTTTCAGTGTGTGTATGCATGTGTAAGTGTGTATGTGTGTATCTGACCTCTGATAAACCTTGTGTCAAACAAAAGGCATTAGTCCAGTAGACCAAACTAATGTGATTTTCTATTAATGTGATGCCCTGGGTGTATCCTTGTGTGTGTGTGTGTGGGGGGGGGGGGGGGGGGGGGGTGAATGGACTCCACTCACACCTTCAATTTGTGTCCGCTCATTAAGTCAGGCTGGTCTATTCTTTACTTAATTTTTAACACACACACACACACACACACACACACACACACACACACACACACACATACATACATTTCCAAAACCATTCAAACCTGTTTGTCTCTCTCTCATACATATGCAAACGTACAAATGCATACAAATTCACATTTGCTAAAACACAAACACACAGAGTACGTTTTTATGACTGTCTTCTAAATGTCTGGCAGGATTGTCAATGATTCAATGACTGCTCGTAAGTACTATGTGTGTGTGTGTGTGTGTGTGAGAGAGAGAGAGAGAGAGAGAAAGAGAGAGAGAGAGAGAGAAGAAAAGAGAAAAGAAAGAGTTATGCTGACAGAAAGAGTGATTATGTGTGCAATAAATCTGCTTAGGTGTGTGTGTATGTGTGTGTTCAGCGATACTACAGTAAATCTCTCCTGCCTCTCTATGACTCTATGCATATTGCTAAATCTATAAATGTAACCAATTAAGTGGTCGGTCACAAATTTGTGCTGCAAACTCATGCAAATAAAGTCTTTAAATCTTTGATAGTGAGTTAACGCACCACAAATTACACTTGACACATTTTACGGAGTACTAAAACATGTTTACATTGACTTACAGTGGTATCCATGGTAACAATCCACATCCATGGAGCGACTGACTTCTGACCGCACACTTTAGCACGGGAGCAGAAACCTAACTAGGGACTTAATGACATTATCTTGTAGCCATATCAGGGTATATCCACTAGGGGTGTACTGCAAAGCTACTAGCCGTATCTGTTCATGTCAAAATCTGTATTCACACGTATTCAGGAAGTGAGCGGGGCTTATACCGAATGTAGTAATCGTATAGACTGCTTCCTTTTCTGTGATAAATTGCTCTCTGCCATGTAAACTCATCATATTTGATATACATCTTATACTTATATGTATAGGCTGCCAACAAACTATACAAACATAAAACAGTATATCAGAATAGTTTAAACATGTACTAACATTTATCAAATGATAAACATGAATTGTATTTGAAACCTACTTTAAAAAAAACAAAAGACAAAACAAACAAAGGACAAAAATATAACTTGACTCTGAAATAAGCCGCATTAAGTATTAATGATCTGGGTGGAAATGAATAGTGGCAACAGAACAGGAGGTTTTAACTGTGGGAAAATAGATGCCGTCATTGTATTTGGCTAAATTGCTATAATTTTCCTTATAAACACAATTGCAGTTTATAGTGGGAGTAGGCCCAGATGCAGCTTTTTTTTCAAATGAGAGAGAACCCTATTGACACAGAAAATGGGCCACAACAGCTAATCAAGTTATCACAGTAAATTATTAACTATTTTATAAGTTCTGCTACATTTAGAAAAGTTCTGCTGCTTTTGGATACTAGCAGTTCCTGTTGACATTGTACATATGACAGTCATTACTTTTGCTACTGAAGAAAATATCTGAATGTGATGATTATTAACCAAGATCTTTGGTTATAAGGAGCACCCTTTTTGATACTGTATGATTTGTGAATGTTTACCCTACGTGGACATCCGATACCCGACATCCTTGTGAGTTAGCAGTGAGTGTGTGTGATGTCAGTGTGTTTAAATTTGATTGAGTTGATGCTGATGTTTGTGGCAAGGAAAAAAGGGATATATTACACAATATGACAATATTACAGGCAACATTTGGATCATTTGCTCAGAGGGAATTATCTGTTCATATTTCAGTAATGTTTTTGTATTTGTTTGATATACACGCTGGTTATTGCCAAACAAAAACGAGTAAACCAACAAGGATGTGAGGCTGAGGAGGTATTTTTGGGCAGATGACAGATCCAGAGGCTGTATTGCTGTGGGGCTGTAACTCAGATGGAAGGCCTTGTGGCAAAAGCCTGGGGGCTTCAGTTAAAAGCTTTAGACCATGAGGGAAGACAAACAGAAGTCAGAGGAACAAAGAAAAGAGAGAAGGAGAGGAGCGGGAGAAGATGGGGGAAGAGGGTGAGGGTGGGGGTCCATTTGGGAAAAGCTCCTTGTCATTTCCCATCCTGACCTCTGCGTTTCACCAGCTCCTACTTGTCTTCCATCTACAACTTGTTTTCTGTTCGTTCCGGTTGACCTCGTCCCACCCCGACATTGCCACCACACACTTCCTCTCTTCTTTTCTGTCTTTTTATTTGGACACGACCTCCTCTTCCTCCTTCGGCTATTGCTCTTTTTTCTCGCTCTTTCAGTTTCTAGCAATATGTAGGGAAATGCGATATATAAAAAACGGAAAAGGGCAAACAATTGTTCGTAAAACTGAAATGGACACGCAGAAAATGGATTAATTTGTATGTCTTGTCTGTTCTTTATTTCAGATGTTCAATTACACTTTAGGTCCTACACTTGCCATTTCATTCATGTCACTCTTTCCGTGTATGCCTTTGACATATATAAAAAATGTCTCTTGCGCTGTTTCCCCCACTAACGCACACACACACTTTCTCAAATTTATATTCAGTGTTTTATTGCCTTGAAGGTAAAGAACATTATTACCAGAGAAACAAGATAAAACAATATCCCTGTCAATCACCCTCTTTCTCTTTCTATGTCTCTCAGTCTTTCTCCCTGTCAAGAATTTCTGTACAAAGAATCATTTTTATATCTTATATAAAGTTATAGGTGTTTTTGATGATTGTTCATGTTTTTCTTTATAACCTATTTAAGTTTCTAACCCTGTTCTCTGTTTCCATTAACGTTTCTCCCCTCTGCAGTTGCCATCGGAGTTGTACTTGGAATCTGGCCACTGTGTAATGGCCTATATACTGTATTATCTATCATCATATTCTCAATTTTTCTTTTTTCTCCTCACAGTGGATGGATGCATAGACTGGTCAGTGGATCTGAAGGAGTACCATGTTCTGGCCGGTGAACCCGTTCGGGTGAAATGTGCCTTGTTCTACAGCTACATCCGAACCAACTACACCATGGCCACCAACGCCAAACTGCGCCTCATCTGGTATAAGAACAAAGGAGATGCAGAGGTAAGATCACCTGGAATTATAGATAATGGGGGAGGAAAAAGAGGAGGTGGGTATGGAAGTCCAACGCTGACAATGATACACTGAAAATAATTTCCGATCTGCATACATCGTAAGATGGAACCCAATTACGCACCGGATATGACCTCACTGAATGGTAAGTCATCTTCATGGAGACTTTGCAGTCTCAAGTGGAGATAAAACATATCAGGTGAAAGTATCAAAAAACATGATTTTTTTTCTGTGAAAAGTCTTCCCATTAAAGTCAATGCAAAAGAAATATTACTGATTCGTATAGTCTAATTTTTGGGATCAGGGCTAGAAGTAGAGTGGAAAATGTGCAAAACTACTTGACTGTGAGTTGAATTTAAATTATGTATATAAAAAAATGGAAATAAAATGAAAATGCCTGTGTTTTCATTTGAAAAATGGATTTTCTTTTCCCAGGAATGTTTTATTGAATCTGTCAGGGTCAACTATCACAACAAGTGAGGAGGATATACTGTACCACAAGATTGGTTGGATCAACACACCCCAATCAGGGGACATCTAGTCCTCTGCCTGCCATTGACCAGATCAGTGTCTCAAATCAAAATGACATGCTAATTCTTCAACTGCAAGTAGCAGACTATTTAAAACCGAAAAAATATTCTTTGTGTGGTTCATCAAGGGTGATAAATGATCCGAAAGTCCCGCGAGGAGCAGACAACTCGGCACAACACCGGTGAAGCTTAAGAAAAATATTGACACTTTGGGCCCAATTTGGACATTTTCACTTAGGGGTGTACCCACTTTTATTGCCAAAGGTTTAGACATTAATGGCTGTGTGATGTGTTGTTTTGAGGGGACAGCAAATTTACGCTGTTATACAAGCTGCACACTCTCTTTACAATGTAGCAAAGTGTCATTTCTTCAGTGTTTGTGTGTTTGAGTAATAGCCAATATACTGAAACAAGAGGGACTGAAAATCATACCGTTGTCCCATGTGCTATAATAAAAAAGTTGCCCTCCTTTCCCAGCCCTGTGGATTCTGTCTGAATGGTAAAGCAGGATTTAGGTGGATTACATTTAGACCTAATGATATATGTAATATGCATCTCTACAGAACATTGAAACTGTAGATATTACATCTTTGGATTTAATGTTATACTTTTCTGTCCTATTTGATTGTAATTATTTTACCTATGTTAATACCTCATAGAAAGAGGTCATTGATTTATGTATCTTTACTTACACTTATATCTAAATGTCATTCATTATTTCAGTAATTGTTTTATTATTAATCTAACATTGTCTGTGTCCTTTAGGAGCCTATCATCTTCTCAGGACATAGGCTGAGTAAAGAAGACGACTCCATCTGGTTCAGATCTGCTGAAATGGAAGACAATGGATTTTACACCTGTGTTCTAAGGTAACCTGTGCACACAGCTAAATTCCTTTTGACCAGTAACTTGACAAAGTCATGAGTCAACCCTGAAGCAAAATGTCTAAAAACAAGTTTAGGGTAACAACCTAGATTCTCCAAGGAAGCACCATTTACAGTGGGATTATTTCTGGTTCTGCTGGATGCACTGTTGATAACACTTTGTGAATATCACATAAATACTGCTTCTCTCCCCAGATGGGAGGTAGGTCAAAGTACACTGAGCAAAACACAGACTTTATTTTGAAGTTTCACTTCCAGCCACAGCTCATATACTCATATACACCAACATGCAAACTAAATATTTTTGGCCCTCCTCTGACATGGAGCAGCTCTCTTGGAGTTGCCTCGGTATTGTTGATTTCTTCACATGGGAACAACCTTGGAATAGAGTTTTGACTCTAAGTGTTCTGTCTCTACCCAGGTGGCCCATTTACATTGCTTGGGCAAATAGCAACACTGTTTTTGGTGTTTGAATGAAAAGAATGTGGTTTTTATTCGAAACTGCTCAGTATGCATTTTGAGAAAATAATGCCCCCTGCTCTCAGGAATCAATATTTCAAAACACAGATAGATGGTTTCTCAAAAATGTAACTGTTTTATCATCAACTTTTTGAGATATTCACTATTACTATTTATTTTAGTCAGTCAGTGGTACATTAGGAGTTTATCTTCAAAAACAGTTTTTTTCATTACATTTGCTGAGGTCTGTTTAAAATATCAAAGGTATGTATGTATGTGTGTGTGTGTGTGTGTGTGTGTGTGTACATACGCATATGCATATTTGCCTTGGTAGCTATGTGGAATGCTGCCAGTTGAGTGAATTGAATATTTACAATATGGCTGTTGGCAATACAGCACACTTTGGCCTGAGTCCTATGTGGCCCTTCAGGGATACGTGTGCATGTGTGTAGGTGTATGTGTGTCTGTGTGAATTTGTTTGATACTACAGTGTTGGTGGTGGTGATGGGGTACCAACTCGTGTGTACAAGGCTTAAAGTCTTGTTTACCTGCAAGTGGATGGTGTGTGTGCGCAGAATGAACTGAATTAAAATATGCCCTCTTGTAAAGTAAATATTTTGCCTAAAGTCAGCCAATATCCATAGTGAAGTATTCATTTTCCTGCTACTTTTGTGTAACCCTAATGACCTAATGTCATTAATGTCATCTGTCAATATATGGAAGTGGACCTGAAGTTGTTATAAGTTGTCATTTATTTGTTTTTTTAAACGGTTTTCAAGGTCAAGAATGAACTTGTACACTCTTGGATCTTTTTGTTTGTAGTTTTTGGCCATTTGTAAATCATTCAGATCAATCAACCTACAGGTTTGAAAGAGAAAACCAGTTCATTGAATGACTTCCTGGTTTAACCTTGTCCTACAATACCTGCAGATTTCCTGCGCAATGAGCGACTATTACCAACATTTTGGGTGTGCTCACTTTCGGTTTTACGTCCAAATATAGTTATAGATCAGTGGTTCTCAAACTGTTTCACATCAAGGACCCCTAAATAGACAACAAATGAACTAAACTGACCCCCATGTAATAAGATTTTGTCCCAGGTCTTTTAGATGTTTTATTACAGAAAGTGTTAAAACCCCATGACCAAAATACTGAGATATTCTGTCATTGTGTTACATTTGGAATTATAGCGGAAAATAAATTATTTTCCTTTTTGCTGGGGACCCACTGGAACCTCCCTCAAGGATGCCTGGGAGTCCCCAGAACCTACTTTGAGAACCAGTGGTTTAGATAGTCCGGCTAAACTGTTTGTTTACAACTGAGCTTCATTGCAGCAATCTATCCCAAATCTCAGAAATTACTTTGGTGAGTGTTTCATCATAACCAATATGAATGATTAGAAAACCAATAAAATAAGAGGGTGCTATTTTTGTTTCACTTCTTCCATTCTCTGCCTTCAAAACCACAGCAGCTTAGCTGTGCACTACAGGAACAGCTCTCCTCATGTTTTATGCTGTAAATCACTGTCTCCCCTCTCTACTTGATTCAGTTTGTCTTCCTCCTCTGCATCTGGTACCTCTGTCTCCTGTTTCTTTCCCTTTGCCCCGTTTTCTCCATCACCTTCTTCCCCCTACCCCCCTTTTTCCCCCTCCCACACCTAATCTCCTCTCCCTTCATCTCGCCAGCCGCCTCCATCTTCTCTTTCTCCCTCATCTCCTGTTTTTCTTCCTTTGCTTTCTTGCCTCAACAGCCACCACCATCTTCCTTCCTCCCTTTACCCCTCTCCAGCTCCTCCTGTTTAGCTCCCTTCATCACCCTCCCTCTCCTCTGCTCTTCTTCCACCTCCTTTTCCTGCCAGAGCTTGACACCTATCCTCCTTAATAAGCTCTCTCTCCCTCTCTCTCTCTCTCTTTCTGTCTTTCCTTCGCTCTCTCAGCATGACAACCTAATTAGGGCTTGGTGTCTGTCATTGTCTCAGGGTCTCTTATTAACACACACACACACACATACACATCGAGACAAAGCACCTCCTATCCTAGTGGGGAGCTACCTATTAGATCATACTATATTACTAGAAAGCCAGTTGGAGAATGTACTTTAGTATATTTAGTACCCTTGATGTGATCTATATTGTTGTTCTTCATGAATCTTATTCTTTATCTGCCCACCGTCTTTTTCAGGATTAGTTTCATGTACACACCTGTCACTCAGTTCTGACTGGCAGGAGGTGAAGTTGGGTTTATACACTAACAATAAAAACATCAGATTAATCTCAGTTGCGGCCACAACCTGCCTTACATAGGTAAAATGGGTGTAATCTTATTTAAAATTGTACAGTTTGATACTTCATTTTTCTCCATATGCTGCCAAGGTTCAACGATGAATTGCCCCTCCGATATTTGTATATTTGTGTGATGTTTCACCTTGACACCCACGATGCTTACACATTTTGCAAATAACTATAGATTGTTTGCTTTGGTAAAAGTCATCAACACTGAATTAGAGGAGAAACACGGCAAAGAATAGGAACAAACGATATATTGGACAGTGGAACTAGAACATCAGAACAACCGGGGAGGCTGTTGAGTTTTAACTAAGTCTCATTGTATCCCTGTTTCACTATAAACGGGTCTCCAGTTGATGTCTTTGTGAGATTTGCACGCAGTTAGGGGATAGAAAACAAACTCAAATGACTGATAGCTTATGTTGACATGAACATGAAAAGCACACAAATGACAAAGTAATCCATGGAATTTCAGCTCAGTGTATAATTAGCTGTTAGCGTCATGGATATTAATAAGGCGGTGGAGAGTTTTGCACAGAAACTGGTGAGGAAGAAATGCCTGTTTCAACAGCTCACACTGTTATTGAGTGTTTGTGGCAGCTTAATGAATATTGAAACAGTTTGTCAAACTCTATTATCAGTGCTTTGGTGATCAGTTTGATGTGCGTGTGGAGTTCAAGAGCAGAACGACGGGTTTTGGATGCAAAATGCATCACGTTGGTAATCTTATAATTAAAACAAAATCACAAAGAGATATGCAGACGATCATGTGTGGCTGATAATCAACACTCAATAAATCCTATGTTGACACAGTTTGTTAAAAGCAAAGTTTTGGTTGGAAAAACTGCAGTTATCTTATATGTGGTTTTCCCAATCAACTTTAGATGAAACCATGGCCACTTCCGAATATGACGAAAGCCATGACAGATGTGTTGCCATAGAAACCACACTCACACAGGTCCCGCAAAATGTGACAGCTACAGTTGCTTGATATATAGCCAATAAGTTAACATTACTATTCCTTCATTCCAATAAGCTAAGAAAGGAGGCAACTTCCTGTCACATTAACAGCTAGCAAGATTTTTATTATCATGAAGAAATGTCTCGCCTGCAAGTTATAACTTTATAAATGATAAGCTTTACCGCTAAACAGTTGTTTTATGGATTTCCAGTATGTTTTTTTTATTTAAAAAAAAAAGCCATATATAAGCTATCATGGCATTGCAGCAATGAGTTTTCTACCCCTCTGCTGTGTGCATATTGGTCCACATACCCTGCTGTGCATTCAGTTTTTACTCTCTTCTCATCCAGCTATTTGTCTATAGCCCTCCCCCTACTCACCAACTCAACCGACATTCACCTGTTCTATACCTTATCTTTGTCACTGGTGATACATGGTTGTGATGAGATGTCTACATCATCTCTAGTGAATTAACAAGCCATGGGGTAGAAGGACACGTTTCTATGGAATTTTCTCTCCTCCATAACTTTTATGGTCTTTTTCCATTACTTAGTCTCTCCCTAGCCTCCACTGCAGCAGCGATTTTGCTTTTCTCTTTGATCTAAGTGGTTGTCCGTGATTTATATCATTTTAGGTCCTGTTTTCCTCCATCTATTGCAAAGCTGTTATTACAGTGGAGTTTTACACTGCTCTTGACAGATCTCTCTGTACTGTGATGCCATTTCCTTGGAGCTGTTTAGCGCTATTTCCTTTGTTTTGTCTGTTCAGCTGCTGTGGGTGCTACTGGCCGTGCTAATGACTTAGTTCTTCTTCTGTATAGTTAAAAAAATGTGTTTAAATGTAAAATGCATCAGAACTCCAAATTTGTGCCAAAGCATGTGACAGAGCAGGAGATATAATCTTCTGATGAGTTCACACAGGAGTCATTCTCAATTTAAGGCACAAAAGAAATGCTGTAATAAGCACCACTTGTGTAAAGGGTGAAAAACCTCAGTTGAATTCTTCAATACAAGCTACACATCCATTGGCCCAAGGCAAAATGATTGCCATCCACACTCATCGTTGATCCTTTTCATGACCTCTACAAAGAGGCCCAGGCTCCTTTAATTCATGCAGCATGCCCTGGGTCAGCCCCGAGCTTTGTAGCTCCCGGCAAATTATATGTCCTATTCTCTCTGAGGTCACCGACAAGCTCTTAAAGCACTCAGACATCCCGCCTTACCTTTGTTCTAACTGAGGATATGAGTCTGAAAGCAGACAAGTGAATGTTGTCAAGTGCTT